CCCCTGATGGATATTTTTAACACGATAAAATATGTAGTCCTAAAGCCAGGATCTTATTTAATAGTAAAATGCTGGAGATATTTCCACTGAGAAAAAGACAAGGATACCCATTTATTCTACTACTATTCAATACTGTATTAGAGGTATTAAGCAATGCAATTAGAAAAGAAAAATAAATTGAGGCACAAAAATTGATAAAGTAAAGCCATCTCTATTTGCAGGTGACATGATGCTACACCTGGGAAATTCCTGAGAATCAATGATAAAACTCAAACAATAAGGAGTTTAGTAAGATAGCAAGACACAGAATTAACATACAGAAATTGTCTTCATATCTTAAAACAATAACCAGCACAAAATGATAGAGAAAACCTCATTTCAAAGCAACAAAGATGATTAAATATTTAGGAAGAAGCTTAACAAGAAATAGGCAAAACCCATATGAGAAAAAATTTAACACTCCCCCAAAACACAAAAGCAGACTGCTTCCTATTAGGATGGCTTAATATCATACAGATGTGTTAACTAAAATTAGATCTTGATCTCACAAATGCACAAGAATATACTCCAAATGGATCAGGAGTCTGTTTAAATTTGAAAATGAAACAATACAAGCACTAGAAAAACAAGGGTGAATTTATCTTTAATCTCAGTATAGAGAAAGGCTTTCTAACTATTAACAAAACTGAAAGGCAACAGAGTTGAATAAAATTCACTACATTACAAAAAAAGGAAGCTGTTTGTATTACAAAGAACACCATAATCAAAGCCGAAAGACAATTAACAATTAGGATAAACTATTTATAACATATGTATAAAGAGTTAATATGACAAATTCTTAAAATTTGAGAAAGGACCAAAAACCCAATAGTAAAGTGGGAATGAAATAAACAGACTATTCATAAAGATATTCAAATGGCCCTTAAACATATGAAAAGAATATTCAATCTCACTCATAGCTAGAGAGATGCAAATTAAAACTACTCTAACATGCCTTTTTTAAAAAAAATTAATTTATTTATTTATGGCTGTGGTGGGTCTTCGTTGCTGCGGGCAGGCTTTCTCTAGTTGTGGCGAGCAGGGCCTACTCTTGGTTGCGGTGCGGGGGCTTCTCATTGCGGTGGCTTCTCTTGTTGCGGAGCATGGGCTCTAGGCACACAGGCTTCAGCAATTGTGGCACGCGGGCTCAGCAGTTGTGGCTCACGGGCTCTAGAGCGCAGGCTCAGTAGTTGTGGCTCACGGGCTTAGTTGCTTCGCGGCATGTGGGATCTTCCCGGACCAGGGCTCGAACCCGTGTCCCCCGCATTAGCAGGCGGATTCTTAACCACCGTGCCACCAGGGAAGTCTCATGCCGTTTTTTTAAACCTATCAGATATAGCAAAAATTAAAAAGCATGACAAACACATTCTGCTGGCAAGACTGTGGGAAAAGGCATTCATATATTTTTGGTGGGAAAACAAACTGGTACAATCCTTTTGTAGGAGAATTTGGCAATATCTAATAAGAGTAGATATGCACTTATATTTTGACCCAGCATCCTACTTCTGGGAATTTACCTGAAGGAAGATACATCCCAACGAGAAAATACACCTGCACAGGTTATTCGATTACAGCATTGTAATGGCAAAACATTGGAAATGACCTAAATGCCCATACAAGTAAGAGTAATTGCATTGACTATGGTATATTCACACAATGGAGTACTATGTAGCTGTTAAAATTTTTTTTGAGAAAGATCTCCATGAACTGGTATAGTTTCCAGGGTATACTGTAAAGTGAAGGGAAAAAAAAGGATAAAAGAATAACTGTAGTATATTACATTTCATGTAAGATAAAAGGAGAAATAATAAACACCCATCTATTCATTGATTTAAAAGGAAACACAGGAAGGATAAACCAGAAACCAGAGATGGATTACCTATAGGGAATAGGTGTAAACAGGATAGAAAGGACAGGAGAAAGAGAATGAGGCAGAAATAGGGAGGAGTTACACTTTTTGTATAGTTCCAACTTTTAGACATATGCTATTTCACATGCAAAAAAAATTAACAATGAGCAGTAATTCATTATGAAACACAAACAAAGCCAAACTGCATTACAAATGAGTAACACAATCATACTGAAAGGGGGAGCAAAGAACTAACCTACATAACTTTGTAAAATAGTATTTTGATTATGTACTCTTTAGACTAAAAAGGAAAGGAACTATATACAAATACTGCACTCTGGTTAGTTTTTCATAGGGAAATATTATGAATTAATTCTGAAACTTTATGTGTATTCTAGAAATTAAGCAAATAAGTGAACAGATTATACATAGTCAGATTTCTTACTGTTGGACAAGAGTAGTAAGTAGAGAAAGGAGGAAGACTAGAATGAATCTGGTGTTGGTCTGGTAATGGAAGTATCTATATGAACTCATGGAGATACATACAGTATACACATACATACACACACACACATAGATCTAGAAATTGACATAGATGTATATACATACATATATTTTCTAGCTCTGTCAAGTAGGCTAGAAGCAATGACACTTCAGAACCAATGAGTACACTTAGCGCAGATTTTGATTCTAAAAGGAACCATGGATGCTTAGAGAAATCACTGATTCCAGGGTTAAAGAAGAGAAAATATGAGTCCAGAATATCTTCTGGTGCCAGAAATTAAAGATTAAAAAAAAAGAATGGAGACGTGTCAAGACACAAGGGTCAATGGGGAGGGGTTTGTGTGGGCAAATCTGGGACATTTTGAGTAACAAAATATATGATTGTAGTGCATTATAAATTATAGAATAACGTAAGAATACACAGGCCCATTATCAATACAAAATTGAATAAAGAATGGAGAACGAAATTTCCTCACAGAATCTGAACTACAAAAAATACAAGATGAAAATAGAAAAATCATCATTCGGCAAATCCTACACTAACAATTGTTTCAGTAAAGAACCATGGGGGAAACACCCAAAAAACAAAAACCATGAATGTCTGCCAATTAGTGGGCAAAAGTATGAGAATATGATACTTACAAGAATTTTCCCGTAAGATACTAATTACAAACAGAAAATTTACAACTTTGACATTGTACATATCTGGCAGATACCACCCTAACCAAGTGATCAAAATTAACATCACACTAGTAAGAGGACAAATTGACATCATGTGCTTGCTGATACACTGAAGACACATCCGTTCTGTCTTATTTTTGCCAAAAATGCATAAACTGAATTTGTGAGGAAACATTAGGGATATCCCAAATTGGGAGATCTACAAATAATTGGCCTGTACTTTTCAAAAAGTCTAAGGTCATAATAGACAAACACTGAAGATTCCCAGATTAAAGGGGTTTAAGAGAGATGACAACTAAACAATATGTGATAATGTAGTGAATCTTCAACTAGGGAGATATTAGTGGAGCAAATGGTGAAATGTGAATAAGGTCTGTAGAATAATAGTGTAAGGTGATATAATATTTTAATAATGTTAATTCCCTGATTTTGACAATTGTCCTGTGGTTGTATGCTATCATTTGAAGAACATGGAAGTACTTCACTATATTTTTGCAATGTTTTGAGTCTGAATTTTTTTCAAAATGAAAAGTTAAAAATATTAAAAAGTATCTTCATCTCAGCAGGGAAGTAACTTGAACAATCCCTCCACAGTATATCAAGCTAACCCTGATTATTAGCGTTAAGAAAAAAACATTTGAAATTCATAGCCTTCATTTGTAATTAGTCTAACTAGAAACGAACCTTAAGTTTAAAATGTAGTTCAATCTTTTCATTTACTAACACCTGACCTATAGGGCAGCAGCATTATAAACATTTAAGAAAATATTTAGAGATAATGAATGGCAGACACAAGTAAGAGAATACCTTCTAACACTTAGGGATTTTCAAAGGTATCCCTCAGCAGAATTTTCTACAGCACATAATAGATGATACTTTGGCAGTAGAGGAAAGGGAGGATTTGGATTAGGTCTCTTTCTAACCTGAGATACTGTAATGTTCTAGAACTATGTGCTAAGTTAGGTAGACTCCAAAGAGCAATTTAAAATCTCCCATTACTCTGGCCAACAATCTGGGCAAGAGCACCAATAACATCTGTCTCTTCTTTGTTTAAAACAAACCCAGCAACAATTAAGTGTAACAGAAAATAAGAACACTTATAGAGTTTGACAAATTTATTGGTATTTTAGTAAAGACATTCATCTCAGTCGTTTTGGGATGTTATTTCAACATAAACATTAAAATAAACAAAAATGGGAAGTTTGCCTACGTTAAAGCAAGTTAAATTCATGTATCTTGATATAATTAAACCATGTAAGTAAGAACTAATCGTTCTATATACATTTCCATTGTTTTACTTGGGGCTTACTCTAAACTTATATGCAAGTGAACAAAGTATTAGGAATATATACAGGCTGCTTCTCTGGAGTTATTACCTATTGAAAGAGCTCAGAGAGTAGTTATCACCAATTAAACAGTATGAAGCTGCCTCCAAATCTAACATTGTAAGAGTTTTCAAGGAAATCATTATACTATATGTTTCTTTTATGTGTGACTATGCTTTTAAAGATGTGTTTAACTGTCACATTAAAAAAAGAATTCATATACAATACAAAAATACAAAATAAACACAATCCTACAACACAAAGATTAACAAAGTATATGTGGTCAAAGATTCCATAAAATATGTTTAAAGATGCATTTTCTTTCCTTTTATTTTCAGTATCTAAAATGTGCTTTTAAAGAGGCCACTGGTTAATATGTATACAGTTAAAAGAAACCATATTATTGTGCTAAATAAGAATTTCTGTAATAAGTTCAAATCAAGTTGGATTTCACAAGTTAGTAACATAAATGCTTTGATAAAGTTACAGAAAGTGCATCTTTCTTATTTTCCATCTTCATACAATGTTGCCTTTTTTTTTTGGTGTTTATATCCTTTAAAAAATAAGAACAGCCAAATATTTAACTATTATGTACATTTAAATTTTTGGTGGTGGTTTGTTATTTTAAAAGAAACAGCTTCCTTATGATTTGCCTGAAGATCTGGTGGAAATACTTACAGGAACTAGCTAATAACAAAAACCAAGAGAAGCACATTCAAAATACTGATTTACTTTGGTAGCAAATGGTTGTTCTTTGAAGACTATCAAAGGTAGACAAGACCCTTTAAAGTGAAGTGGGCTATTTTAAATACTCAACAGTTTACATAAAAATTTTAAATGTTCTTTTTAAAGAGCTAAGCATCTGTATCCACTGATAGCAATGCAACAACTAGTTTATGATGATTCGAAACAAAACAAATGCCCATTAGAAAAAAAAAAGCTGTATTTTAATTTTTATCTAATTTACTTTCTCAGTCAATAGTCCAGCAACATTTTCCTCCCAATACAATACTCCCTTCTCTATAAGGCTGTTCCTGGGAGCCAGACTTTAGGTTAACAAGGGAGTTAAGTTAGAGAGTAACCGCCTACAGTTTAAATAGACAACTTTTTGCTTCCCTCTTAATGTGCTAGTAGTTGTGTCTAAAAAAATATGCAATTCTTAGAAAGGTACCATTTGATTTTTTAAATCATCTATAACCTTTGGAAACTAATCACATGAAACTACAAAATTAGCAAATGTCTTGAAATCTGTATATAAAACATAAATTACCTCTAATTTCAAATTCTCATTTATTAGTGTACCACTCAATCTTTAAAAAAAGAAAAAGAAAAAAAAAGGCGGCTCCAAAGATAGTCTTATACCATTCTTTAAAAAAGGAAACTGTTCCTTTTAACTTTACACCCACCCCATACCCCAATTTCAAAACACATCATTTAATTGTCTTGGTCATGGACATTTCCAAGATGAGATTTTATATTTCGCTCCCATAGCTTCTGGTTATCAGAAAACCCATGCTTTCCTTTATTGAAGGAATTTGGTCCTGCTGATGTTGGTGTATCCCTGTGTTAAAAGAAAGGAAACTTATTTAAAATGTTATATAATGATTTTCGGGCTATGTTTTTAACTCACTGAAAACACATTTGTTTAGCACCTATTATAAATGCAGGCCAAACATCAAAAGCCTCTACAGATCTTTTTAAAAATACCCTTTACACAGACCCTGTCCTAAAATTTCAGATTCAGTAGGCCTGAGGAGAAGCCAGGTAAATCTGTAGTTTTAACAAACATCTAAGGTGATTCTGATACGCAGCAACCACTATAGTGGCAATCACTATGGTTTTAAAAACCGTTGCTTGTAACCCATTAACAGTGTCATTAAATCAATTTGGTGGTGGCTTGCCATCAGCATTTATAAAAAATGAAACAGAAGATGTCATTTTATGAACTTCTGTTTCAGTTTTAAATGTTTAGATATATGAAGATATATGTATCCTGGGTGTTTAGATTTGGTTAAAATGCCAGATGTATTTACTTTAGGTCCCAGTCCGAAAGGGAGGCAGGCAGACAGCCACTGGGACAGTTCCCATTTGAATCACAGATGAAGTCTGAAGACTGATGCGTGAAGACTCAGTACTTAGTTCTTCTACATTTGGTAGAAGTGGGGATATAGTATAGGTTGTTTTGAAGCCCAGCTTTCTTATTAGCCTCTAAGTTATCCATTTACGCATACAAAGACAGGAAACGGAACATCGTGTTAACTTGAAATTAATGTTATTTTCACAATAAAAGAAACAATGGAGGAAAATTTTTAAATGTTTTTGTCTTCTTTTTATATTTGGCATCTAAATTACTAAGGAAAATGGGACACATACAATCAAGATTAAGTGGTGGGAATATCTTAAGTGAGATGAGTGAAAGCCATTTTTTTATACCTGAAAAAAACTTTTCTCATAACTATTTGAAAAAATTTAGATTACATGTATCTGAAAAAAAATAGCATTAAATTATTGTTATTTTTCCTTTTCTTAAAATACTAATTTTCTTTTACCAGGAGAGTAATCTCAGAAAACAAAACTCTTTTGCCCAAATATGCAAGAAAAGCTTGAACACTAATAGATTATGTGCAACTTGCAATTTATTCTTGCTCTTAATTCACTATAATTTTCTACAATATTATACAAAAATTATAATACCTTCCAATATTCTTCATCCTCATCTTTGCTTCTGGAGGCATTTCCTCTGGTTCACTCTGGAGAAAAATGTAAGACAGAAACAGAGATGACTGCATGTAGATAGAGCTGACCCTTGAACAATGCAGGAGGATCAGGGGCACTGCCCCCACAGCACCACAGTCAAAACCCCGTGTGTAACTTTATAGTTGACCCTCCATAGACACGGTTCCACATCTGAGGATTAAACCAGCCTTGGGATAGTGTAGTACTGTAGCACGTTACTGAAAAAAATCTGCATATAAACAGGCCTGTGCAGTTCAAACCTGTGTTGGTCAAGGGTCAACTATATTAAAATCACTTGATTACCAATAATGCTAAATTTTATATCTAAGTTTGAAATTTTGGTGAAAGGAGAAAATCATTTATCTTAACTACATTAAAAAAAACCCTCATGCTTCTACTGTGCTGATTCTGCGTAAAGAAAAAAAATCTGGTAAAAACTTGATATTCTAGGGACTCCCCTGCCGGTCCAGTGGTTAAGAATTCCGTGCTTCCATTGTAGGGGGCGCGAGTTCGATCCCTGGTTGAGGAACTAAGATCCTGCATGCCATGCAGCGTGGCCAAAAAACAAACCAACAAAACACAAGAACAAAAAAAACCCCCAAAACAAAAACAAAACCCCCCAAAAAACTTGATATTCTAGAACTAAAACTATTTGTTTACTATAAGCTACACATTGTGTTAAATGCTTTAATATACACTGTCTTTGAAAACCCTAACAATCCTACAAGGTGGGTATGAGTATCATCATTCACATTTTGTAGGTAAGGTAAACAAGGTTAACTTGTCCCAAGTCACAAAACAGCTAGATGCCAAAGCAAAGGCTCTTAACCATTTTACTGTATTGCTCCTTCTCAAAAATGTCTCCTTTACTGAAAAGACATCTTGAAAGCTCATTCTCTACTACTTTTCCATAGTTACAGCTCGTGAAAAGATATGTGACAAGTGTCTTTTAGATGTTTTTAAGTATAAATGTTACTGATGAGCTAAATATTATTTTTTACACAGTCATCTGCAAGATCCAGCTTAAAGGGATTTCTACTGGTCAAATCTGAGACAATTTGAGCATTAAAACCTGTTGAATAGCGCCTACACTTATAAAAGCTCTTCCTTACAGTAAGAAACATTAAACATAGAAGGGATGAAAGAATGAAAAAATATCACCATTCAGCAAACATCATAATAATTGATTCTGGTAAGAATCACCAATGAATGTTAACACTCATGAGTGAACACTTAAGAAATTATGTATTTTCACATATTCTTTTTTTAAATTTTATTTATTTATTTACGGCTGCATCAGATCTTCGTTGCTGTGCGTGGGCTTTCTCTAGTTGCAGCGTGCGGGGGCTACTCTTCATTGAGGAGCACGGGCTTCTCATTGCAGTGGCTTCTCTTGTTGTAGAGCACGGGCTCTAGGCACATGGGCTTCAGTAGTTGCGGCACATGGGCTCAGTAGTTGTGGCTCGCAGGCTCTGGAGCACAGGCTCAGTAGTTGTGGCGCACGGGCTTAGTTGCTCTGTGGCATGTGGGATCTTCCTGGAACAGGGCTTGAACCCGTGTCCCCTGCACTGGCAGGCAGATTCTTAACCACTGTGCCACCAGGGAAGTCCCCTCCACATATTCTTTAAAACATATCCCCACAAGATAAATTTTAATTATAAAAGATAAAACAGTAATTTGACAGTAGAGAAATCTGGCAGACGTCACTTTAACTAAATGATCAAAGTTAACACTGCCAGTAATGGGATATACTGACATGTGCTCCTGATATGATGCATTGAGAACTTGGCATTACTTCTGTGGTACGCCTGCCAAAAGGAATGTGAATTTAATCATAAGGGAACATCAGACAAATCCAAACTGAGGGACGTTCTACAAACTAACTGGCCTGAACTCTTAAAAAATGTTAATGCCATGAAATACACAGAAAAACCCAGGAGTTGTCCAAATTAAAAAAGACTAAAGAGATACAACTGAAAAAGTATTTTTAAATTTCAAAATTAACTAAATGAACACATTCTTTGTACAATATATTTCAGGCTTAGATATATATCCAAGGTTAATTAATACGTGCTGCAGAAAAAGGAAGAACCAGATGAAGATTTTATTTCCTTTTTTTTTTTTGGCCATGCTGAGCGTCATGCAGGATCTTAGTTCCCTGACCAGGGATCAAACTGGTGCCCCCTGCAGTGGAAGTGCAGAGTCTTAACCACTGGACTTCCAGGGAAGTCCCAGATGCAGATTTTAGATGCATATATTCTTTTACCTAAGAGACAAGTTTATCCCTACCAATCATTACCATCTT